AATTTGAGTCAAGTCAATAAAACAAATTTATAGTTTAATTTACAACACTTGGTCAAGAAAGGAAGAGCAATTAATCAAAGACAACACCTTTGTTCATGTACTCCTTTTTTATAAACCAATCAGTGAGAAAAGAAAAGGCAAGAAGATAATGGCGTCTCAAGAAGAAGTCAATGAACTCAGGAAGGACGTGGCCAACTTAACTGAATTGATGAAGATTAAGGCTCTTCAAATCAAGGACCCTGTGAAGCAAAAACAAATGGAGTTCATGCATGAAAGCTTGAGAAAAATATCCAGTGATTATAGATTCTAAGGCATTAGCTTTCAAGGGGTCTTAGTGGACAAGGAACTTCTTCTACAGAAGTTCAATGTCAATGACATCCCTAGGTTCAAGGCAACATACAATACTTACTTCCACCTTAGAGCTTTCGAGACAATAATGAACATTAAGGGGATAGATAGGAAAGTTTTTCATTCACTGTTTTCTCTATCTCTTAAAACCGTTTGTCAACCATGGTTCTTTTCCCTTGAAAAAGAGAAAACCTCTACTTGGGATACCATTGTAAATGCTTTCATTGATAGGTATAAATGTAATATTCAAGTTGTAACTGATCATAGGGAACTTGACATACTTAAGAAAAAAGAGAATGAAGGCTTTATTTCTTTCTTTAATAAGTGGAAGGAAAACTCTGCTAAGATGATTGAAGTACCTACTAAAAAAGAGTCTGTGAGATTGTTCATAAAGAATATCCAGGAAAAATATTCAAAAATTCTCAAGTATCAAAGCAACTTGAACACCTTTAAGGCCGTTTATGACATTAGAATTGATATTGAAGATGACCTTGCAAAACAAAAAGCTTTTAACACTAACTCCAACAATGGATGGAAAGGAAAGAAGAACGACAATCCTTCTTCTTCCAAAAAACCCACTCAAATAATGTTAGCACCATTAATCTAAATGAAGTCCTCGCCGTGAACAATCAAGGACAAAAGAAACCATTTAGGAGAAACTTTACTCCTATTGGTATGAGTTATGACACCGCATTTGACCGTCTTCATGTAAAAGGTCTTATAACTTCTATTAGACCATTGATTGGGGACCCACCAGTCAAAAGGAGAACAGCTAATTGGAACCCCAATGTACACTGCAAACACCATTAAGGTAGGGGCCATCTTATTGAGAATCCCCGGAAGCCAAAGGAAGCTATCCAAAACTTTATTGACGACAATAAACTCCCAGTACCTCCTGCAACCAAGAAGACAAGCATCAACAGCGCACAAATTTAAGACTCCTTGGCTATTTTTGATTAGGAAAGTTGTTTTGATAAATTCATGCCCTTGAAGAAGAAGAGGAAATCTTTTTCGATGCCATGGGTGATTGGTCCCCAATTCAACAACCGGCCACTAAAGAAGATGTGTTTCTCTTAATATATAAAATGGAGAAAATAATAGGCAAGTGTAGAGAAGTTCATGAACACACAAATCAAGAACAAATTAAGCATGTTAATAAAGAGGTGACACCTATAAGGACTACTAAGAAGAAGCCAATTTTTCTTCAAGTAGTCAAAACACCCAAAAGAAGCATTAAGTCCTACACTCCAATTGGGACTACTTATGCAAATATGTTCAAAATGATCTCCGAGAGTGACAAGATCAAACATCTCAAACCGAGACCATTTGAATCACTAAAGAGGACGCATAAAATCTTCTGTCCATATCATCAATCAGGGGGAAACACAATAGAACGCTGTATTAAATTTAAGGATTTAATTCAGAAACTGATTGATGATTAAAAGGTAGTCCAAATTCCACAAGAGAAAGATGTTATCGTCAATGGAGTTTGGGACAGTGATGATGAGGACGTCTACCTCAAGGATAAGGAAGAAGCCCTATTCTCCACAATATATCCAGTGGACAATATTTGGGATGAAGAAGATTCACCCATAGATGTTCTCACAAGATCCAGGAGAATGCAACCTCCCATTACCATGCAACAACCTATTCCTACTACTCAGCAAGTTCCCATACCCATCATAAAAGACAACGATGTTGTCAAACAAATAAAGAAGACCAAAGTCAATATGAATGTATGGAAACTTTTAGCTACATCCTATCAACATAGGATGACAATGATGAATGCTTTAGATAAAATGGGAATAGGTTCTGAAACCACTCCCGAGGGGTTAGCTAACTTTCTCACTAGCGATCTTCCTAGACCCATAAACTTGATCACCTTTTCTGATAAGGACCTACCTCTAGAGAGTGACAAACATAACAAAGCATTAAATCTCACAGTAATCTGCAAGAGGATGAATGTCCCAATGACTCATGTAGATAATGGATCGGCAATTAATGTCTGTCCACTTTGAACTGCGAGAATGTTGGGAATAAAGGATGAAGACTTGTATCCATCTACATAGGGAATAAGAGCCTATAAAAACACTTGCCGCCAATCTCTTGGAACCATCACCATGAATGTAACGGCAGGAGTCATAGAACACGCTACCACTTTTCAAGTGGTAGACATTAAAGCATCCTTCAACTTATTGTTGGGACGCCCTTGGCTTCAAGACCTAAAGACCATTCCTTTATCCCTCTATCAACAAGTGAAGGCTATAGTTGGAGGAATCCCTATTAAAATCGATGCTTCACCATTGAGAATCCAATCATAAATGTGGAGCATGATGAAGATGACGAAGATTTGAAGGGCTTTTACAAAGAGATCTCCTTAATCAAGGAGTATGAAAGGACCCTTGTTCACTACGACCTCCACTCTAACATGACAGTAAATGTTATCCTTAGAAAACAAGGACACTTTCCTAGAATGACTCCTGGAAAGAAGAAAGGGATAGCAAAGAAAATGGGACTACCTGGCCTTCCTGAATTGGACACTTTTGAACTTGGTTTTGCACTGACTCTAGAAGACCTTAAGCGAGCCCGAGAAAAATCCAACGCACGTAGGAATGACCGTACCCAAAAGAAAGCAATCCCAATGGATTATTATCCTCTCACCCTAAATGGACAATTCATAAGAGAGGGAGAGGATTATCCATGCTATGAATTTCCCAAACCCTTTGTCAAGAATGGAATAAGACAGCCTAGGTTTGAAATATTCTTTGATTGCAACTTTCTAGATGATGTCCCAACTCTTCTCCATAAGAAGAATGCACCTCCATGCTTTGACTTCAATATCATCAGACTTATCTTTGGGCATGATAAGAATGAGCCAACTTATATTGAGGATAATTCCTTGCTCATTCAAATAGTACTAAAAAGTGATAACTTTGACCCTTCTAAGCTTATCACTCCATCAGAGGGTCTAGTTCAAGGATGGAGAAAGACCGTGAAGGTGACTACTCCAATTGAAAGAAAGATCTCCATAACAACAGGACAAGGACCAATGTTCGATGAATCGTTTGAGTTAGAGTCTGAGTCTGAGTCTCCCCTATCAAGTCTTCTAATTCCTTAGTTATAGCACCTTCTCCCAACTCTTCTATTTTAGCACCTTCTCCTAGAATAGTTTGTAATCAAGTCCCAGCGGACATATCTTTATTTGATGTAATGGTTATTGAATTTAATAATATGTCTTCATTTGCTTACTCCTCCTATAATTTTTTAACCTAAGATGACGAGCATTTCTTGACTAACAATGAAAATGACAAAGAAATAATTAAAGCAATGGAAACACTTGAAAACAAAACACCAATAATTGAATATACTGAAACGGTTGACATCTCAAAAGATCCAACCATTAAAAGAGAGGTTAAAATTGGATTATCACTTAATAAAGATGAAAGAACCGATTTTCTTAATCTACTAAAAGAATTTATTGATGTATACACTCTATCATATAATGATATGCTAGGAATTAATACAGAAATAGCTCAACACACAAATACCACTAATTCCAAAAATGAATCATATAAAAAAAAGTTATGTCGAATGAAACTCGACGTAGCCCTTAAAATAAAAGAAGAAGTACAAAAACAGATTACAACACGTTTTATCAGAGTATCCAAATACCCGAATGGGTCGCAAAGGATGGAAAGGTAAGAATGTGTGTCGAATATTGAGATCTAAATAAGGAAAGTCCAAAGGACGACTTCCATTTACCACACATTGATATTCTAGTAAATAATACAGCGAACCACGCACTCCTATCATTTATGGATGGATACGCGGGGTATAACCAGATTCTCATGGCAGAAGAAGACATGGAGAAGACAACATTCATAACACCTTGGGGAAGTTACTGTTACATATTAATGTCATTCGGGTTGAAAAACACGGGTGCCACTTACCAACGAGCAACGACTGCTTTATACTATGACATGATGAACAAATAAGTTGAAGTCTATGTAGATGACATGATTGTAAAATCAAAGGATCGCCCAAGGAATTTGGTAGCCTTAAGAAAATTCTTTGAAAGGTTAAGAAAGTACAACATGAGGTTGAACCCATTCAAATGTTGTTTTGGAGTCACCTCAGGAAAACTCTTGGGATACGTCATTAGCTCTAGAGGAATAGAGAGAGACCCAACAAAGATCAAGGGAATCATGTCAATGCCACCGCCCAAAATCGAAAAGAATATTTGGGGATTCATCGGCCGGTTGCAATACATAAGTAGGTTTATATCTAAATTGACAACAATATGTGAACAAATATTCAAGAAGCTCAAGAAGAATGTACCAGTAATATGGGACTACAAGTGTCAAAAATCCTTTGAAAAGATCAAAGCCTATCTCGCTAATCATCCTATAGTAGCACCAAGACTCCCAGGAATCCCTCGTAGGTTATACCTAACAGTCACCAAAACGACAATGGAGGCTATGCTGGCACAAGAAGTAGAAGGAAAAGAGAATGACATCTACTATCTAAGTAAAAAGATGCTCGAGTATGATATACGCTATACACCACTTAAGTAATTGTACCTTGCATTAGTGTGGGCCACAAACAAGTTAAGACATTACATGCTCGTTAACAAGGTCTTTGTAGTATCTCGAATGGATCCACTTAAATATCTTATCGAGAAATCTACACTAAATGGGCGAATATCAAGTTGGATAGTCAACTTAGCCCAAATTGATGTAAGATTCATGCCCCAAAAGGCTATTAAAGGATTCGTGGTTTTAGAATTCTTAGCAGACTTCCTAATAGATGATTCAACACCAGTGCACGAGAATGACTTTCCAGACGAAGACTTGATGGTCACAAAAGATGATATCTGGACTCTATACTTTGACGGAGCCTCAAACCAAAAGGAATGTGGAGTAGGAGTATTATTGGTATCCCCTAAAGAGGAACATGTTCCTATCTCCATAAAGCATGATTTCAACGTTACCAACAAAGCTGCAGAATATGAAGCATGCGTGGTAGGCCTCGAAACAGCATTGGTATTTGGAGTAAAGAAACTTCGAATATTCGGAGATTCTTCGTTGATCGTCAACAAAATTTCCAAGAGATGGAAAGTAACGAGTGAAAGCTTGGCCCCTTACCAAACCTACCTGGAAACTCTCATAAATTAACAGAATACACGTATCTACCTAGAGAGGAAAATCAATTTGTTAATGCCTTGGAAGGACTAGCCTCAATGGTTAGATTTCTACGGAAATTGGGCAAATGTCATTAACAATAGAAAAGAGACATAAACAAGCTTATATTTAATCCATAGAGGATGATGAAGTGGTCCAAGGAGAAGAAGAAGAAGAAGAAGAAGAAGAAGAAGAAGAAGAAGAAGAAGAAGAAGAAGAAGAAGAAGAAGAAGAAGAAGAAGAAGAAGAAGAAGAAGAAGAAGAAGAAGAAGAAGAAAGAAGAAGAAGAAGAAGAAGAAGAAGAAGAAGAAGAAGAAGAAGAAGAAGAAGAAGAAGAAGAAGAAGAAGAAGAAGAAGAAGAAGAAGAAGAAGAAGAAGAAGAAGAAGAAGAAGAAGAAGAAGAAGAAGAAGAAGAAGAAGAAGAAGATCCTTGGTATACAGACATCCTCAATTATGTCACAAAAGGAGAATATCCACCCCATGCTGACAAAAGAGCAAAATGAGCCTTAAGACTCTTGGCTCCCAATATGTGCTCATAAACGACGATTTACATAAAAGGGTACCTAAAGGTCGAGCTCTTCAATGTGTAGGAAAAAAGGAAGCCCAAAGGGCTATGAGAATAGTCCACAAAGGAGTATGTGGAACACATGTAAATAAAAAAATACTAGTCCAAAAGATAATGCGCGAAGGATATTATTGGACTACCATGAATAGGGATTGTCATCAATATGTCAAAAGATGCCCTAAATGCCAAATATACGCTAACTTACAACTTGTTCCTCCGTCTCTCCTCTACACAAATACATTACCATGGCCATTCTCAACGCGGGAATAGATATTATTGCAAAGATTACTCCTCCAGGAACAGGAGGTCAGGAATACATATTAGTAGCAATTGACTACTTCACAAAATGGGTTGAAGCAAAATCATATACAAAACTCACTGCAAAACATGTAGCACTTTTTATCAAAAGAAACATTATATGTCGATATGGAGTCCCACATGAAATGATAAGTGACAATGGAACTCACTTTCAAGCAGAATGAGAAGAATTGTTATAAAATTATGTGTGGTGAATATTTCAAGCATTACCCCAATCTTGAACCCCTCTATGATCATACACTTAAGCATGCTGGCGTCAAAAGGGAAGGAAGCTAGAGCAAAAGAGTCGCCAACATGTTTTAGGAACTTGTTAACCGTTCAAAGGATGAAGGTTACACCCCTTAACGATCCAGGAGATCGTTAACTCCAATATGTCTGGAACCAAGACTAAAAGTTCTGGGATGTAGGTATACAAAATCTAATCTAAACGAGAAAGAACCTTCCCTAATGATATGCCTCTACTTTATTCTCCTCGTATTCACGTGCGCTTTCTGACTAACATACACTCATTAGGTTAACCCTAAACCTGTTTATCTATGTTGGTTGAATATTAATGCACAAATAAATCTATTATTGGCAAACACTTGAATTATAATCAAATTAACCCTAAACAAGATTGTAGACACCCATTTGTGTCTCCCCAAAACCAAACCCGGTGATGAGTGCCTTTCACGTAGAATCATAAACGAATGAAACGAAAGTGTGGAAAGGTCTAGTGTTGCGGAAAGTTTTATTTCTTTTCTTTTCTCTTCTCTCTGTTTTTGAAAACTTTATTTTAAGGAAAACAGCAAATCCAGTTTGGTTGGTCCATAATATGGGTCCAATAGTGGTGTAGTTGGATGTGGCTTGCAAAGACCATTCCAACGATATATTATAAGCCCAATTCCGATGAATATTGAGCAAGTTATGGCCAATTTACTAAACTGGACCCGGTTTGAGTTTTAAGTACGGCCCAATGATCTAGTTGAGGGCCTAATAGGATTTATCATTCCTAATGTAATTAGGAATGGTTTTGGTCTTCTAGAAAATTCTAGAAGGTTTTATCATTCTTAATTCAATTAGGATTCTTTAGAGTTTTAATTAGATCAAATAACATTTTCGACTGAAATTATATTATTTTATCTTCCAGTACGGTAAAATTATCAGATTTTCGAAAACGTGTTAAAAGCCGGTTTGGCGTCCAACCCCAGGTCCTGGCGCCAATGAGCCTGGGCTGGCGCCAAGTTGTTTATGTGATCTTCAGACTCTGTTTTGATAAATTATCTTTTTTGGCTGATTTTCTCTATAAATATCGTATCAAAAACTCCGTTTTGAGGGACGGATTTACATCTATCATTCATCAACTCTCATCAAGATTTTCTTGATTATTCTTTCTCTCTCTCTTTTTCCAAACTAGCCTTTTCTAAAATACAAAATTCCTCATTCACAAGATCTAGATACACCTAGCCATATTCAAAGTTGCCTTCGCCCTAGACGTGAAAGGTTTTAGTTTCTGAGGGTTTGGTCCCAAATCTCTATTATTTAATTTAATTATTTTGTTTATTATTTTCCTTGAAGTTACTAACGTGTGTATTTTGTAATTATAAAGAGGTACGAGGCATCCAAGTAAGTATTTTATTGATTTAATTGATTTTATGATGTAGACATCATGTTTATATTGTTATTATGATATTTCTAGTATCGTGTCTAGGGTGTTTTTAATATTAAGCATGATTAAGAATATGATGCTTCCTATGTTCTTTCTAACATTTATGATTGTGATTGATGATGATTATTCATTATGTTGCTTAATATATATTGAATATTGTTATTGCTTGATCACCTTTTATTGCAGGTTAAAGGGAATTGGTATTTGCAACCATGCTTAATAAGATATTTAATAATCTTGTTAGGTTAATTGTGATTATAAATTCAAGTGATCGTCAATAATAGTTTATTTGTGCATTAAATTCAACCAACATAGATTAAACAGGTTTAGGGTTAATCCTATTGATTGCATGTTAATCAGAAAGCGCACATGAATACAAGCAGGATAAAGTAGAGGCCTATTATTAGGGTAGGTTCAATCTCTTTTAGGTTGGATTTGTACCTTCATCCCCGAACCCTTATTTGGTTCATGACCTTATGGAGTTGACGATCTCTTGGATCGTTAAGGGGTGTAACCTTCACCTCGTGATGGTTTACAAGTTCCTTAAAAACTTGTTGGCGACTCTTTTGCTCTATCTTCTTCCCTTTTGGACGCCACCGTACTTTAGTGTATGATCACAGTGGGGTTCAAGCTAGTGGGATTTTTAAAGTCTTGAAACTATTCCCTACAGTTTTTGGCGACTCCACTAGGGAGGATTTCTATTTTAATTCCTGAATTTGTTTCGGCAATGATTTAGAATGAGTGGATGAGACTCGAAAAGTTCTAAGTATTTCATGTGCGTAATTTTGATTAACATTATTGTCATATGCATAAAAAGGTTCTCATTGGAAAGACCATCGGTAATGAGTCAAAAACATAGGATTTTACACGTAGGAAATTTGAGAAATGTCTTTCACAACTAGGACTGAAATAACACCGCGCGAAACTGGATGATTTTATTGAGCACATAAAGCTGCTGAGGCATGTGGGAAGTAGCGTCAGGGGCCAGAGCTTGGCGCCAACATTTTAGTCGTAGCGCCAGACGCCAGTATTGGCGCCAGGCGCTACAGCTAAAAGTTGGCGCCAGTCTCTGTTTGATGGCGCCAATTTCCCCCAATACCGAGCCAGAAATATGCGTTCTAATTTCGACCGGTTTTTCGTATTGTTTGCTCGATCCTACTTCCTGATTGAATTTTTTCTCATTTTTCTGAAACCCATATGTGTTCTACATATGGACATAACCCTCTGGGAATTCATGCTCTATCTACCCGATTGAACGCTCCTGGCAACAAAGGGTACATCTGAGATGTTGAATTCACCAAACCATGGAAGTGAGTTTTTTTTCTAAAAAACTCGCGGTGTTCTATCCACACGCGTTAACCCTTCACGGTTAGGCTTCTACGCGGTGCATCTGAACAATTAACCATGGACCCTATTTGACTAAACCATATCCTGAGCTTTAGAAAACTAGCGCCATGGTTAGGTTGCGAACTCATTGCATCATATTGTGCCTACTTGACTAATTGTGCATTATTTGTTGCGCATATATATTCTATGCTTCTCCTAACCGTTTGTTGATTTGTGTTGAGATTATAATTAATGACTTAAAGAACTTTGCCTATTTAATTAATTAATTAATTCGAGTCAATAATATTTTTCTTCTTTTAATCGGAATTGCCCTTGTACGACTTTAGGCATACCCAAGTTGACTAATAATATCGAAAATAGTCCCAGACCGAGGCTCTAATGTTGGTGCCAAAATCTGGGCTGTAGCGCCACTGTATGGTGTGTAGCGCCAGACATTTACTAAAAAGTGTGGCGCCAACCACCATATTGTGACGCTAGTCCTGCCGCTTGGCCGACAGTTTGGATTATTTGTCGAGTCATCACCTAATGTCTAATTATTCAGTTTCCTGTTTAATTCGGTTAATTATGCTTAATTGAATCAATATTCGAATTTAGGCACTAAGTCCCATGGTCTTACACAAGAGTCCAAGCATGTCACTTACACTCAATACACACACCATTACACATGTCTTGACCATGATTAAGGGAGTCTTGTGTGCGCGCGTTATTTTTCGTCATTTTTTTAGGGGGGTAAGTCGGATATTAATCCTCCAACCAATAAATAATAGTACTTAAGTTCCCTAAACACATGTACATTATTGCTCCCTAAATATATGCATACTTTTTTCTCTTCTTAAACAAAAGCCATAAAGTCAAACTGATTCGAGTCAAATAATTAAAACGCAAATTGGCTTAATCTACAGCGCGTGGTCAAGAAAGGAAGGACTATTAATCAAAGATAACCTCTTCGTACAAGTCCAACTTTTCGACAAACCTATAGCTCGCAAGAGGAAAGCAAGAGTTATAATGGCAACTCAGGAAGAAGTTAACAATCTCAAAAACCAATTGGCTACTGTAACTGAGACACTAAAGCTTCTCGCACTTAAGATCGAGGATCCCGCGAAGCAACAACAAATGGACCTCATGCAAGAAAGCCTAAGCAAGTTGTCCAGCGACTACAAGTTTCAAGAACTCACATCCCAAGGGGTCTCGGTAGATAAGGATCTTCTTCCGCAGAAGTTCAGTGCCAACGACATCCCAAAGTTTAAGGCAATCAACAACCCCTACTTCCATCTAAGGGAATTTGAAACAATAATGAGTATCCAGGTTATCGATAAGAAAATTTTCCCTTCTCTGTTCTCGCTATCTCTCGAGACCGTTTGCCAACAATGGTTCTTTTCTCTTGAAAAAGAAAAGACCTCTACCTGGGAATCCATAGCAAACGCTTTCGTTAATAGGTACAAGTGCAACGTTCAAGTCGAAACTGACCATAGAGAACTTGAAATTCTCAAGCAGAAGAAGAATGAAGGCTTCACATCTTTCTTTAACAAGTGGAGAGAAACCTCAGCTAAAATGATTGAGGTACCAAGTGAAAAAGAGTCCGTGAGATTGTTCATTAAAAATCTCCAAGAAAAATATTCAAAACATCTTAAATATCAAAATAACCTTCATACCTTTAAGGTTGTTTATGATATTGGGATTAATATTGAAGATAACTTAGCTAAATCTAAAGCTGCCAACAATAACTCCAACAGTGGCTGGAAAGGAAAGAAGAACGACAATCCTTCTTCTTCCAAAACCGCCCACTCAAATAATGTTAGCGCCGTTAATTTAGGAGAAGTCCTTGCCATGAACAACCAAGGACAAAAGAAACTGTTTAGGAGAAACTTCACTCCCATTGGCATGAGTTATGACACCGCGTTTGATCGGCTAAATGCAAAAGGTCTTATAACTCCCATTGGACCATTCGGAGATCCACCAGTCGAGAAAAGGTCGCCTAATTGGAACCCCAATGCACATTGCAAGTATCGTCAAGATAGGGGCATTCTACTAAAAGCTGTTGGAAACTTAAGGAAGCTATCCAAGACTTGATTGATAGTAATAAGCCGCCGTTGCCTCCTGCCAGTAAAAAACCGAGTATTGACAATGCACCTCTAGCTCACACATTGGTTATCTCCGATGAAGAAAGCGAACTTGACCCCTCATCTCTCATTAAGCCTGTCAAAGTGACCGAAGAAGAAGAAGAAGAGATCTTTTTCGATGTCGAGGATAATCCTCCAGAACTAGCAAATGAGGTAGAGATACGAATACTCACACTATATCTGAGGGAGACATCACAACTGTTACATGAAACTCTCAAAATTCTGAATGAACTTCACAAGGAATATGATCAAGAACCTAAGAGAGAATTCACACCAGTAAAAACGACTTATGAGGCAAAATACTTTCCCTTACAAGTCACCGAAAGACCCAAGAAGAGCAATAAAGTTTATACTCCAATTGGGATCCCGTATGCACAAATGTTTAAAATGCTCTCCGAGAGTGGCAAGGTCAAACCTCTCGAACCGAGACCATTTGAATCATTAAAAAGGACAGATGGATATTACTGTCAATACCATCAGTCAGGAGGACACACCATAGAAAACTGCTTCAAATTCAAGGATTTGGTGCAGAAAATGATTGATAGAAAAGAATTAGTCCAAGTTCAACAAGAAGAGGACATAAATGTTAATGGAGTATGGGACAGTGATGAAGAAGATGTCTATCTAAAAGACATATTAGAACCTTCACCTTCCATATCATACACCACAGACGACATTTGGGCTGAAGAAGATGCATCAATAGACGTCCTCACAAGATCCGGGAGAATACAACCTCCTGTTTCAACACAACCCATGCCTACAGTACAACAAGTTCCCATACCTATCATCGAAGACAATGATATTGTTAAACAATTCAAGAAGACAAAAGTGGAGATGAATATATGGAAGCTTCTGGAAACATCTCGAGAACATAGGTTGGCTGTGATGAATGCCTTGGATAAAATCGGGATAGATTCTGACACCACTCCTGAGGGACTAGCTAACTTCCTCACGAGTGATCTCCCTAGTCCAATTAATCTAATCACCTTCTCTGATAAAGATTTGCCCCTGGAAGGTTACAAGCACTACAAAGCGTTAAACCTCACAGTAGTCTGCAAGAGAATGAATGTTCCCATGACACTTGTAGACAATGGATCGGCTATTAACGTCTGTCCACTTAGGACTGCGAGGATGCTTGGCATAAAGAATGAGGATTTAACTCCGTCCACACAAGGAATAAGAGCTTACGATAATACTCGACGTCAAGCTCTTGGCAAAATAACCCTAAATGTGACGGCAGGAGCAATAGAACATGCTACTACTTTTCAAGTGGTAGACATCAAAGCCTCATTCAATCTGTTGTTAGGACGCCCTTGGCTCCATGATCTAAAGGTCGTCCCTTCATCTCTCCACCAACAAGTGAAAGCTATATTTGGAGGAATCCCCATCACGATGGATGCTTCGCCAATGAGGATCAAGTCAATAGAGAATCCAATCATCAACGTGGAGCACGACGAAGATGATGAAGACCTATGGGGCTTTAACGAAGAAGTCTCCTTAATCCAAGAGGATGAAAGGACATCTCTTTGCATGATAGGTCCTATTTTGCACATGTTTTAGATGGGTATCTAAGCTCATTTGATTACAAAATTAGAGATCTTTAGTGCAAATTTGCATTATTTGCTTAAGTTGTGCTCTACTACTCTTTGTTTGTGTGTTTTGATGAATTTCAGGTAATTTATATGCAAATGGAGTATGGTTAGCTAATCTTGAGTATAATAATCATGGAGTATGAAAACATATTGCTTAAGAATATCAAAACATGTGTTCAAGACGAACTTGAGTGAAAATGAAGCAAAACGTTGATGAAATACTTGACAAATATGACACCTGTTCACTATTATGCCTATAACTTTTGATATACAAATTATAATGGAGTGATTCAAATTGCATTGGAAAGTAGACTTGAAGTCCTTTCCAAAGATATATTACACGCCTCAAACGGAGCTCCGGATATGAAGCTATGACTGATTTAAGATGAGTTAAATACAAACTATTTGCTGCAGCCTCTACGTGCCCGATCGGGCATGGTCCGCCCGGTTGGACCGGGCACATAGGAGTTAGATGATTTTTGGTATTTTCGAAGGTAGCAAGAAATTTATGAAGACCGCCCCACGCGCCCGATCGGGCAAGGTCCGCCCGGTTGGACCGGGCACGTGGTGGAAGAAGTGCTACGAAGGAAAGCAACTCCGTACTCTCACCGCCCGATTGGGAGGTGCTTGCCCGGTTGGACCGGGCACAGTTACGCGACACTCCGTATTATTATGTTCTTATTTTTAGGTCATTAAGGGTATAAATACCCCTTGTAATCTTCATTAGAAAGGAGTTTTAATTTTCCTTTAGTCCTCTTTCTCTCTCTAGAGTTCTAGTTTATTACTTTGAAGCAATTTTAATTCTTTCCATTAGATTTGAGCATTGTTCTTCAGCAATTTAATTCCGTTCAATTGAAGAATCTTTGGTATTTATTTCTACCTCGTTCTCTTTTAATTATATTTACTTTTCAATTATGTTTTCTATAATTATGATTGTTATTGTTTATTTCATTATGAGTGAGTAGATTTTCTATTCCAAGATCTACGGTAGCCCAATTATGATTGATGCATGAATTAAATCTTTAAATTCTCTAATGACTTTTGCAATTGCTATGCTAAATTGATTGTGATTATGCCGATACTAGGTTAGATGTAATCTTAGTATTGTGATTATTCTATTGTTTCTATCACAACGAGAGTTGGGTTTAAACGGATTTGAGTAGATCAATTTAGGGTTTGATTTTCAACACGAGAGTAGCTGGGTTTGATAATTGGGAAGTGAGAGTAATGTGTTTAATGTCTCTAATATGCATGATACCATGAGAATAGGCTTGATTGTGTGCTAGGGAAGCCATTGATACTCGAGAGAGGTCCTTGGTATTTATTAGGGTTTACTTTTCCCCGTTCAATTGGAATTGTATGTTAGGGGTAGAAATATAACTGCATCATTCGTAATTGTGGCGATACTAGATCTTGGATGTTTTAATTACTTGATTTCTTCATATTCTTTATTTTATTTTCGAATTTTCCATACATTAGTTCCTTAGTTAATCGATCATTATTGATTCTTGCTTAGTAGGAATTTGAGTCTACTTAATTAGTTGAACCTTAGTCTCTTGGGATTCGACCCTTACTTGCCTGTCTACATAGTAGTGGTTAGTTAGGTTATATTTTTTTCTGAAATACTAATCAAAGCAATTAAAACTAACCTATGAAAGCAAATAAAACACACCAAAAGCAATAAAATCAAACAAACCAAAGCAATGAAAACTCAGAGAACATACCTAAGCTACTATGCACAAACTTCCCCCAAGCTACACTTGGCAATGTCCTCATTGCAGAAAGTGGGGAGTAGGAAATACCGGAGTTCTCACTCGAACTCAAGCTCAGTACCATCATCATCATCATCGTCAACAACATCATCGTCAGAACTTGCTGTTGTTCGCGCCCAATCGGGTTGGTTATTCCCGGTCTGATCGGGCGGAGAGGATTTCCCAATCTTCACTTGATTCTTCCAACGTTATTGCTCGCGCCCGATCGGGCTGGCCTTGCCCGGTCTGACCGGGCAGCGAGCAAAACGCCTTGTTTTCCACTTTTGATGAAATCTCTCGGTATCTCGCTCCTCCTATATACCGATGTTCTCTGAAAAATAACAAACACAACACAAAAATGGCATATAGACACCAAGGGAGATAAAACTAAAAAAATAAATAAATTGAAAAAATTAAACGAAAAGCGGGTTGCCTCCCGAAAAGCGCTTGTTTTTCAAGGTCTTTAGCTTGACCATATTGATACTCATTGGCTCAACCGGGATCACCACACGGAAGAGGAACTCTGAATGTCGCCCATGGGAATGATTGCCTCCAAGTGACTCCTTCATTTTATAATTATCCTGCCTCGTATCCAAACTTACCTTCATGCGGCCAAACACATCATTGGGTGGAATTTTGTCCTTGCTTCTCACAAAATTTCTATCAAATACATACTTATCAACAAAAGGGTTAGTAGCATCGATTCTTAAGCAAGTACCACCATCAAATTTAGAGTTATGTTCATCAAAGAGCTTGAATATGACTTGTTTATCCTGGGCCCTAATGGTCACTTGTCCTTTAGGAAAATCTATTAGAGCTTGACTTGTGGCAAGGAATGGACGACCAAATATAATCGGGATCTTATGGTCTACTTTCATGTCCATAACAACAAAATCAATAGGAAAAATAAGTTCACCAACCTTAATTAATACATCTTCAACCACACCCTTAGAGAGTCTAGAGGTTTTATCAGCCATTTGAAGAGAAATAGAGGAAGGTTTAAGTCCTTGCAAACCTAAATTCTCATACAATGAAAAAGGCATTAAGTTAACACTAGCACCTAAGTCGCACAAAACCTTATCGAAAAATTTCTCGTTTATCGTGCAGGGAATAGTGAAACTACCAGGATCATGCAGCTTAGGTGGTAGGTTATCATATAAGAGAGTAGGGCCCTTCTTATGTGCTACTTCCTTATCCTCATGTTGATCTTTAATATTCTTTAGAAAATTTGCAAATTGAGGCATTTGAACTAAAAGATCAGAATAGGGAGTAGAAGCGTGTACCTTCTTGAGGGCTTCACAATATTTGCCAAAATGTCTATCGAGCACGGCTTTTGACAACCGTTGCGGGAAAGGCATCGGTTCCTCATAAGCAGGTGGAGCCACATATTTGGAGCTTTGAACATCTTTGCCCTTTTTGTCTTTCCTAGACTCCTCACTGCACACCTTCTCAACAATTTTCCTCGGAAAGGCTTCATCTCTTCTTAAGAAAACAGCATTGCATTGTTCTTTTTGAACCTTTGCTTGATCTTGAAGAGTTGATAGGCGACTCACCTGTAGTGAAAGTTGGCTTATTTGGCTTTCCATGAGCTTACTATGGGCTTGCAACTGTTGGATGGAGCTACCTTGTTGTTGGATGGCACTATTGGTTGTGGTAATGAAGCTCTCCATCATCAACTCAAGGCTAGATTTTTAGGAAAGTAGTTGCGTTGGTTGTTGGTTCATAGGTGTTCTTTGTTGGAAACTGGGTGGTGAGTTGTAGTTGTTGGATAGGGATGGTTGTGATGGTGGATTCTGTTGTCCTTGGGTGTTCTTATAAGAGAAGTTGGGATGTTGTTTCCAACCTTCGTTGTAAGAATTGGAGTAGGGATCAAAAGGCTGTTTGGGGTTCGAAGAGTAGAAAGCATTGGCTTGTTCAATAGACATCTCACTCATATTCTGCGTGCAATCCGGTGCGATGTGGCCGTGCACATTGCACATTTGACAAACCTCTAGTGGGCTAGTAGAAGTTCCAGATTGGAACTTATCAAACCTGCTTGTTAGTGCCTGCACAGAACTGGCTAACATAGTCAAAGCATCTACATCAAGCTTACCTCCTTTTTTCACATTCTGACGACCTCCTGGATGATAATTATCATTGGACGCCATCTTCTCAATCAGCTCCTTTGCCTCAGTTGGGTTCTTTGTCAAGAGAGAACCCCCTGATGCAGCATCAATGTAGATTCGGAACTCATGTGTTAGGCCATTATAGAAGGTTTGAATCAACAGCCACTCTGGGATACCGTGATGAGGGCATTGTCTCTGTAACCTCTTGAACCTTCTCCAAGCCTCATAGAGAGACTCGTCATCTGACTGTCGGAAGGTGGATAGCTCGTTCCTCAACCTGGCAGTCTTCTCATGTCCCAAAAACTTCACTAAGAAGGCCTTCACTAGCTTGTCCCATGTATCGAACGAGCCAGTGTCTTCATCTCTCAACCACTCTTTCACCCTATACCGTAGTGAAAAAGGGAAAAGGCGAAGTCTGATAGCATTATCTATAAAACCATTCATTTTCATAGTATCACATTTCTCCAAGAAACTATCAATATGATTTACTGGGCAATCATGTGGTAGCCTTGCGAATGAATCATTGGAGATGAATTGGATGGATTGCGGCTTGAGCTCGAAGTGCTGAGCTGTTACAGGTGGTCTTATGATGCTAGAAAGGACTCCGGTAGTCGTATCAGGAATACCGTACTCCAAAAGGGATTTCGTTGGTTGGTCTACCATGTTTCTTCTACGTCGATTTCTTGTTCTCCTTCTTCTTATAGTTGCCTCGATCTCAGAATCAAATGGTTCAAGATCTTCTAAACCTGAGCGTCGTGTGGGCATGCACAAGAAAAACTAGAGAAAAAGTATCAAAAACACAAGAGAGAATAGTCGAAGCAACGAAATAAGCTTAGCAAAAACGAATCACAAATAATTAGATGAAAACCGTTAGTCCCCGGCAACGGCGGCAAAATTTGGTAGGCGTGTCGCGTACCTAACAAAATATAACCTAACTAACCACTACTATGTAGACAGGCAAGTAAGGGTCGAATCCCAAGAGACTAAGGTTCAACTAATTAAGTAGACTCAAATTCCTACTAAGCAAGAATCAATAATGATCGATTAACTAAGGAACTAATGTATGGAAAATTCGAAAATAAACTAAAGAATATGAAGAAATCAAGTAATTAAAACATCCAAGATCTAGTATCGCCACAATTACGAATGATGCAGTTATATTTCTAAGTATTTCAAAAAAAAAAAAAAAAAAAAAAAAAAAAAAAAAAAAACTTGAAAATACGAGAATCATGACAATTAATGACCATTGAACTACTTCCATGTGCCCCTACCCTTAATGATAAAAAGGTTTTGTTTCAATGTTGATTGAAAGGCTTGCATTGTAGACTAAAAGATCATGATTTGACCTTGAATTTGTTGATCCCTAATAGGAGTCAAAGTTATTTAACCATGTATGATTCAGGAGCTTGACTGTGTTAACCGTGAGGCTTGAGCTTTATATATTCATTCTTGTGTGTGTTTAGTTCCTGGTGTAGCATTGATCTTAGTTTTGACTTTAGACTCTTAGTAGTGTGTCGTAATGCATTGCACGTGCACGTTGAAATGACGAAGACCATGTTCATTAGGTAGCCTCCAGACAAAATTAGAACATCAATTCCCTTCTTGCTTACCCATGTTGTAGCTTGACTATATTTTTCATAAACTTCACAAAAAATTACCCCTTGGCCCCAATTTGGTTACTTTTCCCAAGTCTAGCTTGGGGGAGCTATATTATGCAGTATTTTGTGTGATTTTAATTTCAAGTTGCAATTGATGAGAGGCATAAGAAAAAAAAAGAGAGAAATAAGGAAGACTAGCATGGAGGTTTGTTGAAAAAAAAAGAGAATAAATCAAAGAACAAGGAAATAAAATCTTGTACTTAAAATGAAATAAAATGTCTTTGTTCTCGGAAAAAAAAGAAAGAAAAAGAGAAAAAAATGTTGATGAAAAGAAAAAAAAATTGAATAAAAGGAAGCTTGAAGTTAGAAAGAAATATGAAGAAGTAATGGGTGCTTTTATTGTAGTTGGGTTTGTGTTTTGTTGATTGAAAAATGGTGAATCGAGGTGTGAATCATTGCATTGGATAGCTCCCCGATTAGACTAATATAGCCGACATTTCCCAAATTATTCCTACCCATTCTTATTCCCGGCCTACGTTACAAGCTTCATAAGTCCTTCCGATTTTCGTGCATAGCGTTGTGTTCATGTGAAACGAGTCTTTTGTCAAAATGCTGGAGTATATGTTGCATTTTGAGTCGACATTGACTAGGTTGAGCGATATTATAACCCTCTAAACACGCGAGTGTTGTGAGATGGGGGGATTACATTGTTGGTGGGGATGGTCAGAGATCGAGCTCATTCTTAGCTCGCCACATAAAAAGTGTGTTGAGTGACCACCGATGTGAGATACTCTAGTCATCGATTCTTGAAATATACATGGTTGGTCTCGTTTGACGATTGATTAGGTGGATCAACGGTTTGAGTAATTTGATTGGTTGGCTAGGATGCATGCTTGTTTGATTTCGATTTTGAGTTGTGTTCTATATTTGCATTATGGGGTGAAGTATGTTGTTTGGTTGTTGATTATCATTGATTGTCTTGCTTGAGGACAAGAAAGAGTTTAGCTTGGGGGAATTTGATAGGTCCTATTTTGCACATGTTTTAGGTGGGTATCTAAGCTCATTTGAATACAAAATTAGAGATCTTTAGTGCAAATTTGCATTATTTGCTTAAGTTGTGCTCTACTACTCTTCGTTTGTGTGTTTTGATGAATTTCAGGTGATTTATATGCAAATGGAGTATGGTTAGCTAATCTTGAGTATAATAATCATGGAATATCAAAACATGTGTTCAAGACGAACTTGAGTGAAAATGAAGCAAAACGTTGATGAAATACTTGACAAATATGACACCTGTTCACTATTATGCTCATAACTTTTGATATACAAATTATAATGGAGTGATTCAAATTTCATTGGAAAGTAGACTTGAAGTCCTTTCCAACGATATGTTACACGCCTCAAACGGAGCTCCGAATATGAAGTTATGACTGATTTAAGATGAGTTAAATACAAACTATTTGCTGCAGCCTCTACGTGCCCGATCGGGCATGGCCCGCCCGGTTGGACCGGGCACATAGGATTTAGATGATTTTTGGTTTTTTTGAAGGTAGCAAGCAATTTATGAAGACCGCCCCACGCGCCTGATCGGGCAAGGTCCACCCGGTTGGACCAGGCACGTGGTGGAAGAAGTGCTACGAAGGAAAGAAACTCCGTACTCTCACCGCCCGATCGGGAAGTGCTTGCCCGGTTGGACCGGGCACAGTTATGCGACACTCCGTATTATTATTTTCTTATTTTTAGGTCATTAAGGGTATAAATACCCCTTGTAATTATCAATAGAAAGGAGTTTTAATTTTCCTTTAGTCCTCTTTCTCTCTCTAGTGTTCTAGTTTATTACTTTGAAGCAATTTTAATTCTTTCCATTAGATTTGAGCATTGTTCTTCAGCAATTTAATTCCGTTCAATTGAAGAATCTTTGGTATTTATTTCTACCTCGTTCTCTTTTAATTATTTTTACTTTTCAATTATGTTTTCTATAATTATGAATGTTATTGTTTATTTCATTATGAGTGAGTAGATTTTCTATTCCAAGATCTACGGTAGCCCAATTATGATTGATGCATGAATTAAATCTTTAAATTCTCTAATGACTTTTGTAATTGCTATGCTAAATTGATTGTGATTATGCCGATACTAGGTTAGACGTAATCTTAGTATTGTGATTATTCCATTGTTTCTATCACAACAAGAGTTGGGTTTAAACGGATTTGAGTAGATCAATTTAGGGTTTGATTTTCAACACGAGAGTAGCTGGGTTTGATAATTGAGAAGTGAGAGTAATGTGTTTAATGTCTCTAATATGCATGATACCATGAGAATAGGCTTGATTGTGTGCTAGGGAAGCCATTGATACTCGAGAGAGGTCCTTGGTATTTATTAGGATTTACTTTTCCCTGTTTAATTGGAATTGTATGTTAGGTGTAGAAATATAAGTGCATCATTCGTAATTGTGGTGATACTAGATCTTGGATGTTTTAATTACTTGATTTCTTCATATTCTTTAGTTTATTTTCGAATTTTCCATACATTAGTTCCTTAGTTAATCGATCATTATTGATTCTTGCTTAGTAGGAATTTGAGTCTACTTAATTAGTTGAACCTTAGTCTCTTGGGATTCGACCCTTACTTGCCTGTCTACATAGTAGACAATATGGCTTGCTTCATAACATTCCTTCCGGGGATCTTCATCCTCCCTATGAGTATCCCATATCTCAAGAAGTAGATAAATTTGACACGTACTGGAGCGCTAGACCTTTATGGGAAGTGATTACCCAAAAGGTTCCCCCTTCTTTGCCTAATGATGTAAAGAAGTGGTTGCTGAAGAAGTCTTCAGTTGATCAGGGTAGAACTGATGTGAAGAATCGTCTAGGTGACAGGGTGACACCGGCCAAGGAACGCTTAGGTGCAAGAATTGAATTCAAGACACCTATAATGCCTAAGAAGAAGAATTCTACTAAAGACAAAGGGAAAAGGAAAGTTATAGACAAGAAGACTTGGGTGGAAAAGAAGCATGGGGTGCTAGCGGAAGGGGAAACAATCCATTCCAAGATTGAATGTAGGTCCTCTAAAGGATGCCTACTAGCTAAAGTAATGGATGAAGAGGAGGAGGCAGAAAAGAATTGGAAAAGAGCAAAGAAAGAGAAGAAAGATTAGAACATTGCTTAGCTTTCGATTTATTAGATTCTTAGTTTTTATTTAAAGTTAATTTATTTCAGCTTTATTTAAATTCCATTAACAATTCAATTTTATTTTATTAATGAAATTTCAGCTTTCAATTAAATTGTTACTTTAAATTTGTTTTATTAAAGCAATGAAAAACCGAAAAAATTGATTTTCTAGAAATTCTTCGAGTACAGAAGTCGAAAATTTTCCGAAAAAAACGCCGAAATTCGCCCAGATTTTATTACTGAATTGTCGTCAATAATTTCGAATTGGCGCCGGATATTGAGGTCTGGCGCCAGGCGCCAATACTGTCGTCTGGCGCTAATGGCCTTTTGCTGGCGCCAGTTGCTTTTCCGACTTTTGTTGACTTTTTGTTGATTCTGGAATGCGGAGATGTCGAAAAATAAAGTGGTTGCACCCGTAATGGGTTGCCTACGTATCCTTTCCTAAGGAATCAGGCCGAACGTAGCTCTCTTGAGTGTCCTACTCAAGTAATTATGGGTAGTATTTTTTAAGGTGGTCAAGATTGGTCATGTTTGAGAATTCATTGCCATCCATGTTAGTTAATTTTGCTGCACCACCTGACAGGATTGTTTTGACAATGTAGGGGCCAGACCAATTAGGTCTTAACTTTCCCCTTGGATCTAAAACATTTTTCCTTAGTGCTTTTAATACCAAATCTCCTATTTTGATATTTCTTGTCCTGACCTTCTTATTAAAATGTCTAGCCATACGAGTTTGATAACACTGAGTGTGATGTAGAGCTTCTAGTCGTTTTTCGTCGAGTAGGATCAATTCTTCATATCGTGCCCTAGTCCATTCGACTTCATCGAGTTTACTTTCTAGCGCAATACGTAGAGATGGTATTTCTAGTTCGACAGGTTGTACGGCATCCATTCC